TCCGGGCCGTGACAGCCGTGGCGCGATAAGAGCTGACCGCTGCGTAAAATCGGTCATTTGCATATTCATGCGTTCGGAGAAATAACGAAACATTCATTCGGTTATAATCGGGGCAACGGGGGAACCGCCCTGGACCAGCGGAAAACACAATCTCGTAGTAATTGCGGTTCGTTAACCGTGGATATCGTCAAGTTCCCGATCAACGCCGATTTATCGCTTAGAACGAGCACGACTTGCTACCACGGCTGAATGCGATCGTTTACACCGATTCGCGTGGGATTCGATGCATGCGCGCATCCATGCGTCCATGCGTCCATGCATACGAGTAATTCGAAAGGGAGCAATCTCGTTACCGTACTTTACGCGATCCTTTAACGAATCGCCATAGATTCCCACCGTTTCCGTCATGGAGTTTCGCTGAATGTATCGAGCGTCGTGACGCGAATGGTTAACGTGAATGGTGGAAAGAAGAGGACGGACTTAGGAAATTTCGAAGGGGAAAGTGTTATGATTATCACGTTTCGGCTGACATCACGGAAAGAATGAAATGATGTCACGAGCGATCGAATATGTCGTTGCAGTAATATCATTTTCGATTTGCATCAACGCACGCGGAATACGATTACGACGTAACGAGTACGCCGTTGTCGAAAAGTTACATCGCGGTCGACGATCGAAAACGAAACGCGCGTTAACCCCGGGTTCGCGTGGAAAAAGACGCGTTTCCGATTTTCGTGCGGCGCATGCGCGATAGATCTGGACGAACAGAAGCGTAATAAACACATTGCGAAAATTCATCCATCTGCCGTTTATTTCATAAATCTGCGATTTTATAAATTTTACAGAGAATTAGAAAACGTTTTCCTCTGGTCTACATACTCGATGTAAAATCTCCAGAATATTTTAGCGATTTTTATGAAACATCTCGGTGTTTAGGTTAATTATGGCGGCGAGCTGATCTGCGAAGACACGCACGCGTTCTCCGTACCCTGGCGACTTCTTCTTCGCGAGTGAAAGAATGGTGTACGCTATAGTACGTGTGTCCCGCGACAATTAGCCATTCAACGAGACAATTACACGTTAAATACTATGGCGACGCGCAAAAGGACCGCCATTCGTTATGTTTCCAGTCCGCTTTCGAGAGCCAAGCAGGAAGAGGGAAGATAACGCACGCTTCTTCTTCTTCTTCTTCTCCCCGTGATTCTTCTCCTTCTTCTTGATCACCCAGCTCGACCCAGAAATTTCAAGAAAATTAAAATGTGGTAATCGCGATCCTATTCCGTCGTAATGTGTGAGTGTCTGTAAAAACGCTCGGTTGGCTCTTACGTGTAAACGAGACTTTACTTTCTCAAGCACGCGACCGCCGTCACTCCTCTCTTGCTGCTCCTCTTACTTTCTCCTCTGGGTCGCCTGAAAAGTAGGTCTCAAATAGGATTAAGCGATCGTTTAAAGACCTTGCCGCTTAATCTGCCAACCACTCTTTATCCCGCTTCCTCCTAAACTCTGCCAACGATCTCGCCGATCCTCGGACCCGCGGCCAGCATTTGCCGCGCTCATCTTCCTTTCTCCCAGAAGAATTTCAAAGATACGTCGAACGGGATCCGTCGTGCCGGTGTCTAGACTTGACCGGCTGTTACGCAACCGCGAAAATGGGGGAAAAAAATTACGCGGTCGAGTGAAATTTGTAAAAGTCCGCGAGGTATGCGAGTGCTCGAGGTACAGCGCGTGGCACGTTCCTTCGCCGAGGAGAAACCGAACGGTAAATACCGTCGCTGAAAATTTATAGCAAACGCCGAAACGCGAGTTTAACCGGTGAAAGCTATCGATAAAGCGCGAATCGCCGTGCAAAACGCTTCAATTTCGACGATCCACCGAACATCGATCCAACACCGATCCATTTCGCTCGGCCTGCGATCTCTGCCCATGCGATCCTCGTCTTTCCACGCGTGTCTCGCAATCATCGATACCGATTCTTGCGAAATTCTTGCGAAAACAAACTTCTTTATCTACGATTTCCCTCGTTTAGGGCCTTACCTGTCTCAAGATGGCTGCTGGCACACGAGCGATACCTCCTTGCGTCGTACGCTCGTCGTGTCGTGCATATCGTCTACTTTCTAATCGATACAAAGGTATTGTCTCTGGTGGAGAGTAAGTCCAGCAACCGGTTCATTCCACGACGATCGTCCGATTACCCTGTCGGACGAGTTCCAGTGCAACCGCATCCACGGCCGCGACATCGCCAACCCTGCCGATCCTCTCCGTCGCTCTTACGCATCTTACTTTCGTTGCTTTCAAACGGGCTCTCTTCGTTTTCATCGGCGAAAGTGAATGGAACGCGCCGATGTTTCTAATTGGCACATCGGCATTCGACACTCGAACCTGTCGTGCTCGTAACCGATATCGCGATCGGAACCCCCGCGACGTTCCCTTTTCCTCCTAGCGTCAGGCTACTGCCTGTGCGCTCGTTTCGTTCCATGCAAACAAATTTTATGCGAAATTTGGGGAAAATTGCCAAGTAATTTATGAGAAGACCTTGTAACAAGGCTGATAAACGTATTCTAATTTAGGAACCGAGGTTTTGGGATTCTCCGAGAGTGGAAAACAATGGCAACGGTGGAAGCGATGCGGTCATCATCATTGACACAGGTACAGTAATTTAGAAGACCTTTTAACAAGGCTCATAAACGTATCGTAATCTAGGGACCGAGGTTCTGGGATACCCCGAGAGCGGAAAACAAAGGCAACGGTGGAAGCGACACGGTTACAGTAATTTATAAGGAGACCTTTTAACAAGGCTGATAAAGGTATTCTAATCTAGAAACCGTGGTTTCACGATCCTCCGAGAACGGAAAGCGAAGGTGACGTTGGAAGCGACGTGGTCATCGTCATTAACACAGGTACGGTAATTTATAAGAAGACCTTGTAAACAAAGCTGATAAAGGTATTCTAATTTAGGAACCGAAGTTTTGGGATCCTCCGAGAGCGGGAAACAAAAGCAACGGTGGAAGCGACGCGATCATCGTCATCGACACAGGTACAGTAATTTATAAGACCTTTGAACAAGGCTAATAAACGTATTCTAATTTAGGAACCGTGGTTTCAGGGTCCTCCGAGAGCGGAAATCGAAGGCAACGGTGGAAGCGTCGCGGTGGTCGGGAGGATACGTAAATGATGCGGCATAAACGATCGTGTTCGCTGCTTTCCAAAGCAGTTTAATTACCATCAATGTACCGTATTGATCTATACGGCGGACTCGTCGGGACGCGACCACTTGACCGGGAAATAAAACGGTACTGTTATCGCCATTCCAACATTCCGACCGCCTACTCTGGTCGTTTGGGAAAAAAGGTAGAAAAGGATTTAAAAGGAGGGGGATCGAGTGAAATAATCGAGTCGAAATTCGACGTCCCACTGCGATGGGGACTTGTTGCGCTGTTTGGCTACAGATACCGAGCTGCCACTCCTTCCCATGAACGGGAAACGGTACGGAATACGATTGAAACTCGATATTAATAGGAGCGCGAAGAAATTACGTAGGGATTAAGGAAGAAACAGGAGAAAACTTTTAAAGCGGATCCGTCTGCCGGCTGAAATTTCGCAAGGACGTTAAGCGATTGCGGAGTAACGTTAAATAAAGAGACAAGGGCATTAATAAAAGACGAAAAAGAGAGGGGAATTCCTTCGAGGAATTTCCCGACGGTCTGACCTAATACCGACAAGCTGCTGGAACTTTTGCAAAAATAATTAAACGGCGCGAAACCACGCGAAAAAGGAAAAACTCCCGTTCCCGGGGGACAATGAAACTGGGCTCGAAGCTAATTTAATACGATATATAATCGCGATGGAAAAGGACGGAGACAAGCTTTCATTCGTCGCGTGAAAAATTTCGAATGGCTGAAAAATTGAATCCGCGTCAAATCTACGCAAAAATCCATTAAACCCTCTTCTTCCGTGTCTCTGGAAAATCCATTATCTAGATGAAACGGTAAATAAAAATACAAACGGGGTAATATTTAAATCCTACGCGTTCCTAAATAACGTTGATTAAACAAAACGGACGCGACAATGGTGGCGAAAAAAAGAAAAAAAGAAAAAAAAAAATCGTGTCGAAAATAGCGAGGGAATTGGGGGAAAAAGGGTAGTTTTGTGTCGAAATAGAAAACATCAGATCCTACGATGCGTCAATTGAAGCTTATATTTCCTTTCTCTGCGTGTCCGATCGATTTTCGTGGAATCTTTACATTTTTTTAGGTCGAATGAAAACAACGAATCATTGCGGAGGACTTGCTTAGAAAATCTAAACTCGTTTGTTCCGTGTGTCGCCCCTCTTCTCTCGCTTCCTTTCGTTTGCGTGAAAGAGCCAACGAGTCCTCGCAGGTGTCTGGAAAGGGAGGAAAAAAAGACTGAAAGGGGTGGTTGTTTCTTAAAAAGGTAAAAGAATTATCGCGCTGAGAGACGAGATCGTCTCTTCGTGTGTCGAGCTTGCGCGAATGGTTCGAGGGTTCTCGTGTATTTTTCGAATACTTCGTCATTGCCAGGTTGCAAGCTTCGTGTCGGAAATTGAAACAAAAGTTGCACTCGCGTGGTTGCGAATGCTGGCGCGTTAAAATTTTTTATTTCCGCGATAAACTCGAATTACTTTCGTCCGCGAAACATTCCGTTCTGACATTTCCACTTGCTTGCCATTAGACACGAATGAAGCTGCGTAATGAGCATCACACAGAACTCGTAAATAATTTCAACGAAACTCCTCGCTCCGCGATTCCCCGGAATTCGTAGCATAGCAACGAGCGGAGCGTAATTCTTAAAATCATGGGTGACTTCAATGCTGGCACGTACGTTACATCGATCTTATCAATATTCGAAGAGATCCATGCTACCTGTCGCTGCCGACCACCTATCACTTTGCATAATTTACACATGCTACGTCCCGAGAAAGACTTTCATCTCTGCAAATGGAACTTTTCATCGAACCAACGATTCTTACCGACGAAGTAATCTTAAGGAAGAGGATCGAGATCGTTCCGGTCGCTGACGTCGTTCTCTCGATCGAGATCAACCTGATCCATGAAGTTGAGGACGGCACTGAAGCGATTTACGGATGAGACCGTCCGATAATCCGGAGTGGGGCGTTTCCCATATCGACCACCCCATAGGTATCGTTCTATCCTCGGCACCTCCACTTCCACCAACTTCGGCAAGGATTTGCTCGGCTTCTGCAAGTGCTCGCTGCGTCCGTACCTTCCTCCCGAGATGTAGAACGAGTCTGCAATTCGTATTCTAATTATAATAACTATAATTTCGTACAAATGCAACTGCAAATCGCGCTATCAATTTACCACGTAGTCTTTAGCGACAGCTGAACATCGCGGACCCGTTGACAACGAAACGATAAAAAGGAAGAACGTGCCATTGACTACGAGTTTAACGAACCCTGAAGTCATTCGAGCCGGATTCATAGCAATTTTCGCCAGTTAATAAGTTATTCTTTGCTCCTGTTTCTCGGCTGTGCGAATGCCATGCTCAATTGCCTCGATAACTCGAATCACAAAGGGTGTTCTCTGGCAATTACCTCCAGCTTGTACACGAGGTAACGAGTTATTCGCGACTCTTCTTTGGAAAATGGACGTCAAAAAGGGGGTATAAAAGTGACGACGAGGACGACGACGTGGGAGCAAAGGGTCCGCGAGCAAAGAAATTTCTGTAATTGAAAGCGCGAGTGGGGAAAAATCGATGCATAGTAGCCAATTATCACGCATCGTCTGCGACAAAGAGGGATGTATTTAGCGGAAATTCTATTCGTCATCGATTCGACGGATGGTTCGTGTTCGCAGCGAAATGATCGAGTGACTAGGAACCGGAAACGGTCTAATTGAAGATGACCAGTAACCGTTCGACCGCAGAAGGACCGCTGGTGATTAGAGCAATGCACACGAGTGGCAAAAGCGAGAAATACGAACCGGTGGAAAATTAAAGGTAAGCTCGCGTGATCCGACGAGAGCGAAATGGCGAGGAGGCGAGAGATAATGAACGCGATTTATTCTCAACGGGGAGAAAATCAAGACATTCGAATAGGTCTTAATGAAATAATTAATATCACGGATAAGCTATCTCGAAAGCAATTTGCATTTCGAAAAATGAAAAGTAGCCGAACAATTATACCGATTGCGTGATAATCTTTCCCGAGAAAGGATTTCTGTGCGGCTCGTTAATTAAGATAGTCCAATAATTCACCTGCACGTGGTTCCTGCCTTTTACCATACCGGCCCTGGATGTAGAACTTCTGCTGGGATGCGACCAGAGTCAAAACGGCGCACGTAATCCACAAACACATCACGATCTCTACGCTACTGAACCACGGTGCGAATTGTGCCTTTCTGCCCCGTGAAAGCATGCTCTTGCCTAAAAAAAATAATTCCCCGATATTTCTGCCACTCCCTCTGATTACCCTTTTTCCATTCCCTCTCTTTTCTCTAGCTCTCTCTCTCTCTCTCTCTCTCTCTCTCTCTCTGTCACTTCGATTTTTTCGATCGATTGCCGAATATTTAACGATAGTTTACGAGTACATCACTGAATCGAAAGATCGTGAAATATCTTTTTATTGTCACCGAGAAATTGAAAAATTGGTCTTCATCGTCTATCGATCATCAAACGATCATCCATCGATCATGCAACCATCGACTGTTAATAATTCGCGGATCGCAAAGGTAATCGCGATCGATTTTAATCTACTTCCCTCGTATCTGCTGCTACTTCTCGAATAAAGCTTAACGATGCTCCGACGAAGCTGGTTCCGTTTCCTCGCGATTAATCCTTCGATCTCCGTTCAGATCACTTCTTCATTTTTCGCAGTGACCAACTATTTCCTCTCGATCGCGGTCTGTGCTGATTTCCCCGTCGATACGCTGAGAGATCCCCACCGGTGGACGAAACGCGTGGCTAAAACGGAAGCTGAGGAATACGAGACGCGAGTGCGGTCGCGGCTGATGGACAAGCGAAAAAGATACTGGTCTACGTTTCCAGACACGTTCCAACGAGGAAAAAGTCTCGAAACGCGGATGAAGCAACACGTAAAAGCAACTGCGATGTACCATGATCCGTGAAACGCTTTATATAGTCTCACCCAACCACCCACGAAGTGTTCAGACACCCCTAACGGCGACCAATGGCGCAACAGCACGCCGTGCCCTCTCCTCGCTGACTCCCGATGATTTTTCCTTCTGTTTCGCTGCTACGTGCAACAAATTGGACAATTCAATGGAAGGATAATGACGCCAAATGTATCGCGACCTACCTACGCAAATACGAGTCGAAAATTCATGGCGGAGCTTTTAGAGGAATCTTTCGCGATGTAAATTTTCACACCGTCCCGACGTCTCCGTTTTATTTCCATCCAACTGTCAAATCGAGATTATCGCGGAAATCGTTAATATAGAGTTTACCCGAATGAGATTTTCCCTCCTCGCTTCTTCAGAAGCCGAGGTATCTTCAAAGAAAAACCGACCTACTTCGAGACGAATGCACAGAACCTCTGTTCCCTCTTCGAGGCTGACCACGTTTTCTTCGTATTTAAATCTCGCAAGCGTACGAACGACGAATTTACACGGTGAGATTCCCTTTGAAAACCACCCAGTCACCTCAAAGAAGCCACCCCCGACAGCGAGCTAGGAAATGCACAGCTGGACTACTAAATTCTTCACGAGACTCGGCAATTATTGCAACATGCAACACCTCCGTTTATTCGCCAAGGTGATAGCTCCAAGCCTAGCCCAGAACACCACCTTCGTTCCCTTTAACAACCGGTAAACGATCTCCTTCTCCTGGAACTCCGTTTAATTTAGATCCAACGTAGAGGACCACTAATTCGTACCCATCTCGACAAGCTTCTCTCTGTTTTTTTATCCCTTTACGAGTCACGAAGAACGCAGTTGCTCCAGCAGCATGTTCCACGTCGCTCAGAGTCCCGATCCGGGAATCTACCAAGTGCGTTGCTCGTAAAATGGCGAACCACATAAAACGTTTGTGTTCCTTATTCGCTGACTGTCGTTAACGCGATCTTGATGGCCCGGAAACCAGCCACGATGGTCATCGTTCCGAGACGTATAAGGTAGCCATTTACGAGCCAAACGCGATGCATCGATGCTCGATCGATTCTCAGGATACGCGGACCGTGGATGAAGTTCCTCCTTGCAACCACCGCGAGGTGGACCATAGTTCGTGGATGGTAAAGAAATGCTTCATTTTTGGGGAAGTGACTTCTATCGCATGGAACGTCGAATTCCTTGCGCGAAAAATCGAGGATAATTTCTCGATCGCTTTCGTTTGCTCGCGGAGTGTTTAGCTACTGTACTGAGAAAGGGTTGTAAATTATATGGCGAAGAATCTTTCGAATAACTCGTAACCTTTAAACGTAACTCATTCGGCCAGTGATATATTAAGGAACCACGTTAGTGCACTGGCAATAAAGGAAATGAAAGAGCAAGGAACCGAATCACCATGGCAACGAAGAATTAACGAAAAGCCAGCTTGACGAATTAGAAAATCTCCGGGATGGGACAGTTTCCTCCGGTTTCCGGCTCGATTAACGCCATTCCACCGAAACCACCCTGGACACCAGCACCGGATTCTTATCCCCGCCATCTTCCCCCGCGAAACAGGCGGAATTCTAGCCGGAAACGCGAGGGTAGCAACTGGCCACGACACTTGTTGCTCCACTTCTTCGGAATCTTCTCCCGAATCGTGGGCTGAACTATTCTTAAACTACTCTTCAACGATTCCCGATAGAAAGATATTTTTAAGCACCGGAAACGAAGGAAAATTGCGACCTTTATTCGTTGGGGTAGAGATTTGCAGAGTTCCTTCTTGTCAGAGATTCGCCAAGACCGTGAGAAATCGTCGTGGCAGTGGAGAAAGGATGCTTCTGGCATGCGAATTTGTTAATTAGTATTCTTAAAATGCGCGAAGCTTAGGGGCGGTGAAAGCACGGCGACATTTTTTAAGAAAAATTACGATACTTCGTGCAGCCTGGTAAAATTCTGCTTGGGGTTGAAATCATTTCAGAAGAAAATAGGTTCATAGAAATTCGCCCTGATTCGCTCACATCGCTGCTTTTGCACCCCTCTGTGTTTATCTTATTTTCTTCGATTTATTTTAATTTCGTTTTACGTTTATCCCCAGTTTCACCCTATTTTCCTGCTTTCCTTTATATATCGCGAGGTATCAGGGATGGACGAATGGGTATCGCGAGAGTGAAGATTCGAAGAAAGAATCTGGACACGTGTAATTTTGATTAACATGTTTATATTGATTAGGGCAACTGCTGGAGCTGAATGACTGAAACTACACGGAGAACATGAAACATAGCACAAACGATAAAAAGGAACAGACTTTTTCCACGAGTTTCTTCGTGACATGCGAAAAGGCTCTTTGCATTTGTATTTGAGCCGCTTAAATAGACTTAACTGAAGCTCATCTCGCGCACATAGTCTTACACACGCATAGTCATAGAATTTCTTACACACGTGTCACGTATACATTTAGAATAGAAAATTTCTTCCTTTTATTCCAATTCGTCTAGAGTAGTCTCCTCCCTTTAATGGTTCATTTTGACTATCTTTTTTCCAAAAATTGCCCTCTTTTTCGAAATAGAAAGAGGTGAATGAGGAAAGTGAACGGTTCTTGATAGAGGAAAGACCAAGAATGGTCCATCCAAGGGTATGTGCATAATTAAAGGTGGTTAACTATTCGACGGAGCGAAATTCTTGTTTGGAACGAAGGAAAGTACTTAGGAGACCTTAGAAAACGCGATTGAATATGATAACATCGGGTCGGCACATCTGCTTTCCCTTATGAGAGAGCTTCCGGTTCCTGGGACCGAAATATAAATTAATAATTCGTCAGAAACTACGCGCGTTTTCGTGAACCAACGCTTGATCGTTCGATGAATTATTAAATCGCTGAGAAAACAGCATCGCTACGTGGTTCTTCCGGTTACTCGTCTCGTTCGTATTTCGGGAATAGATGCTTTTGGCGAGAAAAGAAAGTAAGAAGAGAAAAGATGTTATCAGTTTCGATCAAGATTTTCTACTCCATTGCGTCCGCTGTTTACAGTGCCTTTGCGGAGGAAGAAAGTCGAGGGCGAGGAGAGTAAACGGCGAAGAAAGGGTGAGGATAATGGAAAACTGATTTTTGCTTACAATTAATTTCTGATTTTCATTTTCAACGATGTTAACAAGGATACAGGACAACGACGAAAGTGATGAACAAAGAGAAAGGCCTATGGAACGTGTCGCAGGACGAGCAGGGTGGAGCAACGACGTCCATTTAGCGATTAGTACTAAATCTACGTCACTTTGCCGGAAAATTGGAAAAAAATATAAGTTGAAACAATTTTCTTATTCGATATACATAAATGACTTTTTAGAATAAAGTTGTGAAAGAATAAACTCTCGCCTAACTTTTGAGACAAGAACGAATCTTTTAACGTTTTTACATTTCGAGTGATACTTCATTTTAGCAAAAATACAGAGGAAATAAAAATATTTTGATATACGTATATGTATTATAGAAATTTATCATTTGGAAATGCAAATACAGTTATAGTTTATAAAAGATGTATAAATTATCAAATTTATCATTAATGACAAATTAAAATTGTTAATAACAAATTGCATAAAGAATAAAAGTACTTAATATAAATGCATCATGGAAATTTATATTCTAAAGGAATATTATTATTAATAACAAATTAATATTGTTAATAACAAATTGTAGATAACAAAAATTTATAACAAAAGTGATAAAGTTAACAAATTATTGGCTATTACTTAAAATTATAATGCACTTGTGTGAAAAAATGTATCTGTAATTTGCAAAACGTTTATAAATTATTACATCTATTGTTAATAACAAATTAATAAATTATTGGCTATGAGAGCGGAAAATTAATAATTAATAAAATCGGCGAGGTTCGAAAATTTTTGATCGGGGTGGGGAGCTCGGTCGATCGGAGGCTATATAAGGAGCGAGTCATTTGTCGTTCTGGCTTCGGAAATGGAACATCTAAATCTTTTCGTGCGCGTAGGGGTTGGGGGTCCGAAATGAGGTTGGGGCTAGCCACCCCACCCTCACCCCACCCCATTAAATAATTTAATAATAATTTTTCATTCCAGGACTAATCTTTTTTTTTTCAGGTTTCAATTTTTTTTTTATTTTCAGGATTTAATTACTTCTTTCTTTTCAGATTATTTTTTTCCGTTTTTATTTATTTTTGTATGTCGATTCGAATATTTCGTATGATATTCGAATCTTTCATCGTTGGTTTATTCATGTATCATCGTTGGGATGTTTATATCACATCGTTGGGCTAATAATTTTTATTTTCAAGTTTAATTT